GCTTCCATCCTCCAATTTAAAAAAAAAAAAAAAAAAAAAAGATCGTCGGGCTGGTTTCTCCATGGCAGGTAACATATACGGTCGATTCTTGACCGGAACTTTCCGCTCAAAGCCTCGGTAGAATTTCAGCTTTCCTCGTTGGCTGTAGTAGTCCGAACTTCGCCGTTATAACTGCATGCACTATACGAAGGAACGAATGTTGCATCTTGTGGAAGTAAAATCGAAATGGGATGCGATGGAAAAATGGTTGGACAAGCCTAGCCAGATTTCGAGTCCCAGAATTCGTAATTATCGAAGCATGTTTCGCTGTAAAAGTCGTGTAAAGGCGACGTCCCCAAATGGAAACGTAATTTCTCCCTTCTTCGTCGTTGGCAACTCGTGATTTACACGGCGATACGTTCGCGTTTGAAATTCCAGGCATCTCGCCAAACAGAGCGCCGTTACGACGAACGATTCTGTCACGATCGTACGGATAAACGAAGAGAGAGCAAGCCGAGCCTGGCGACGAACGCACCATCGAAAGATTAACGAGGATCGTACAGGCAATATTTGGCTCTGCGATCACGAGAGATCGATTGATATGGCGGCATTTCTGTTTCAACGAGGGCTCGGGTATATTTGTTTTCTTTCCTCGTCCCTAACGTCGGCGTTATCACGAAGCCCTCGAAGGGATTTTCAAGCCCCGATTTCAGCCTCGGACCAGCTCCCTCGACAACGTTTTACGCGAGGGCTCTACGATGGAACTAATTTCACGGCGAACCGCTCGATCCCTCCGATTCGTTATTAGATTTCCCACGGCTAGTGTACACGAGCCGAATGAACCGATCCGTGAGCCAGGCTAAGGAACGGGGGAAAAACGGAAGGAAAACTGGCTAGGAGGGGCAAATAAAACGGTATTCCGGGTGAGGAAATGTCGCCGGAAGAGAAAGGAAAAGCTAGTGAGAATAAGAAACGAGGTGGCAAGGCGCGAGGGGAGGGTGAAAGAGTAACTGGAGGAAAAAGCGTAAAGTTGGTGAAAATATAGCTTGGTGTCTGTGGCGAGAGGAAATGCTAACGCGTGGTACGACGACGTCTTACGAGGATAGACACACGATGCTGTAATAAACGATCAGAACCTTAAGCCGAGTAAAACTCGTTAGAATCCTATTAACGCGGTATAATCGAAGTGAACGTGGTAAAATATCGTGAGTTTGCAACGAGTCTGAAATTAAATCGAATTTTACGCGTTTCGACCGCGCTCGAATTCGAATAATCCAGGAACAGCGTAGCGTCGGAATACATCGCGGCAATTTGCATGGTAAGTTATCTAAATTTTCGTTAATTCAGTTTCCTTGTCGCTGCGGGACGTCCAGAGAGGAGATAAATTTGCAACAGCCGTAAAGAAGTTGGGGGAAGAACGAGGTGGCAACGAATTCGAACAGAGAAGATGGGACAGAGACGAACCGGGAGACCTTACAGATATTCTGTACACGTCAACGGAGGAGGGTTGATGTACAGACGAGCGGGCAGAGAGGGGGTATCAGGGGTTGCCGGGTAACAGAGAGGTGGGATAAGAGTTCCCAGGGGTGCCTAGCAACAGGTTGCTACCCTAAAATTTCGACCGGCGGGAATGAAGTGGCTGGGTGGGGATGACAGTACCTATAAATGTACTGGGTGGTCTTACTAAAATTGTAAGCGGTTCTCCGCCGGAACGAGACCAACTATGATAAATTCTGATCAAATGAAACCGCGAACGAACAAACGGTAGAGCGTGAAAAGGAGCGTGACACTTTTTTCTTATATTTTTAACGGCGATTTCTTTGACCAAAAGAAAAGGTTTCTTTCGCGATTCGTAAGGATTCCTTTAAAAGGAAATACGTCGCTGTTCGAAGTGCGTTTTACACTAGATATTGAAATCGCGCTGTGTGTTCGATAAATATTCGCGCGAATTCTGTCGACGCACACGCCTCGGTGCGTTCCTCGTTACTCTGCCGAAAGCCGTTGCCGGAACAGGTCTACGAGCGTAGATTAGCGCATTGTTGTTCGGTAGTTCTGCCACCATAACGTCAATTGCACTATTATTGACAAAGCGACGCGGCGACAGACTGTCAGCACTGGTATATTCCGTGTTACGTGCAACTTTACGACTAGCAACATAGAAAATACGCGAATTTCCAATGAAAACGGAGAAAATAAACGAGAAAGTCGATATTTTGCAACGTTTCTATAGAGAAGTCGAGTATGGGAAATATTTGATACGAATTTCGATAAACGTTCCGAGAATGTATTTAAAAGACGCGTAAATAAGTTTGAAATTATAACGAGTACGAGAAAATGGAGATCAGCTTTACAACGAGACGGACAGTGTTCTTAACGTTTTTAACGTTTCGTACGATGACAATTAAAAATGGATAAATTGGCGTTCGAGATTATCGACAGTGCCGTTACGATTGGATGACTATTACTTTCGGATAGATGGACGTAAGTTGGTTATACGTGTAATGGATTGAAATTCATTTTGCGCGGGCAATGGAAGAGCCAGATATTAATTCGTTCGTGCAAATAACGTGTGTTGGCGCGGAAATCATCGTCGATGAATATTCCGCGCCGCGATTCGATCTACCGGTTGGCCGAATCAAACTGAGAATCACGTACAGCTGCCTTTGTCGAGATCATCGTTCGGATCGAATAATTTTTCGTCCATCGGGAAGCGTTTGGTTCGGAAACACCGTCGTTTTTATCAAAAAGCTTTATACCCGTTGTTTCGGATTTTTTTATTACAACGGCCGTGTTCAGCAACGCTGGCGTAATGTCGGAACGAGGCGCGTCGCGATAGCGATCCTCGATACAATTTACTTATAGCGGAAATCGAAGAAACTCTTAATGAGATTTCAAAGCTGCCGGATGCACGCAACCGTGGATTCTGCCAGTTACTTGTTACCACGAACCCCGTGGGTAACGTATATAATTTTCGAACGAACGTTGGAGCTTTGGAGAGGATTAATTAAAGAAGTACGCCGATATCGATTCGACGATCGATCGACGACCAATAAAGATCGAAATTTGCGATGCGTGCTCTTGCAGCAAAATATTTGCTTCGCCCTGGCTGGCATCGGTTCGTTTTCGATTCCTTTTGAGCTGAAAGCAGACGAAGGACATACGGCCGCTTGCACATGGGTTCGCTATGAAACGTAATAAGGACAAATGGCCAGGATGGGACTATGTATAAAGAAACTAAGTTGCTGGAATAAATGGAACACACTTTAGAGAAGGCTCGAGGAAAAATCCATAAGGATAACAAGGGTTTGCGTGGCGACAGATGACTAAAATGGAATTTACGGTGGCCACTGACTCTTTCCTCTTTTCTCCGTCTCTATAAATTATAATTATCGAGGCCGTGGACATCGCGATAATCGGTCTGCTTGCCCGTCCTTCGCCTTTATTTTAACTACCCCGATAAACTCCGGCGAAGAATCGTCTCGACCCCGAAAAATTCGTAAAACGATATCTACGCATCGTTGCGTATAACTCTTCCGTTGTCTGCTCTGTTGATAATTAAGCTTCTGATATTTTTAACCCGAAGGTACTTTGCTCGTAACGCAGGTTCTTAAAGTATCGCGAATTATTTCCAAGCGTTGGTTTTCGTGCTGAAAAATATTCCACGAAAGCGTCTCAGTTAGGAAAAATATTGAACGCTTTTTACCGTTTTTCCCTGGGGAGACGAAGCGGTCCCAAACATCGTATTCCTACAGGAAGGAGATAGCATCTCGAAATATTTCCATCCCGTTGAAACGTTCGTCAACTTTGAGAACCGTTTAGACGGGACAACGAGGAAGTTTTAACCGCATGGTAGGCCGTTGTCTGACTATATACGGAGCCTACTCACTTTCGATAGCGACTAGCACCGAGCGACAAAATTATGGCAAGGAGATAAGTTGGTTGGTCACGACGAATATTTCTTTCGCTCGCCACCGTTTACGAGTACGTTATCGCGATTGCTAGGGGAAAAATTAATCGTCGTCGTGCTCGCCATACGCGAGAGTCGACTGTTTTAATATATAACGACGTCCGTATTTGTTGTTAATATGCTATTGTAGTTCTTTTAAATAGGTTCTACGATCTTGGTTGAGAGAACGAGAGAATGGAATAGCCAAAGATAGGGAGAATCGAGTGTCCGAGGAAACGTGAAATCCAATATTCTGAGGACAGTTGTAATTGAACGAATATTTCATACACGAATTCACCGTTAGTTAAATTGATTTCAGCGGCGTGATATCGGAGTATTCCATCGTGGCTCGTCGATGATAAACATGGTTACGATTAAATTAAACGAAACGGCTGTCTGACGTGCGTGTTTCTTCGCGTCGGAGCTAGGCAACCGGACGGCGAGCAACGTTATCAAATTATTCCATGGAACGGAGATAAGCTGATATCGGCGATCGTATAAAATTGGCGTTAGAAGCGTATAAAAACTGGTGATCGGATTCGGTGTATAGCTGTTCTATATCGGAGCTCGCGCAGAGGCAAGGTAGAAACGAAATTGAAAAAGGGAAAGCCTATCGATGGTCGCCGGTATGCGAGGAAGTTGGACAAACGCGCGAGTACGATCGGTAGATCGCGTGACTTGACGTGCTCTTGATACTTTGAGATTAGGCTAGTCAACCTAACCCAATTAAGGAGAAACGGTTTTACCGAGTTTCTTCCTAATCTTCTCGATCCTCGTACAGTCTGTCGTCTCGTCGGATGTGCTAATTTCGCATTGACGGGGCCTTTGAATATTCATGCGACTTTTCCTCTCTGTTCGCCTTCGTCTCCCGTTTTTCATTCGTGTTAAAAGCATCGTCGCTTTGTAATTTTCGAAACGGTACCGTATAAGGATTTGCAAAGATTCGTAAACGTTACAAAACGAGTCGGACAATTTTATTAAAAAATGACGGTGGTTTTTTTCTTTCCAGGATGTTGGGTGGCGTGGGAGGCCGGCACATGTCTACGCGTCGGCGTGGCAGTAGCCCGCTGGTGCGTGGAGGTGCGGGCCTCGTTGGATACGCTGGACCGGGGGCCTCTGGAAATTCCAACGATGCTGCTATACCACCGGATGTGCAGAGATACGCTGCCAGAAGGCGCGGGGCTGTTACCACCAGCGATCACAAGAGTTGCGCTCTTGTGCAGACCCGTATTAAACTCGGCGATATCATGTGAGTTTTATTCGCTTGATACGTTTCCTCGCGAACGGCCTCTCTTCCTGCGTAGTAAGCCAGGCAGGATGGCAGGGTGAGATGGTAAGGTAGTTCGTGCCCTACCGTCGGTATCGACTTACCGGGAAGGCTGTGCATGAGGATGTTAAACTGGTCGATAACACAACAGCCCTCTCGATGTTCTTCTTTAGTAGATTAAATCACTTGGTCAATGATATCGAGTCCATTTTTATCGCTTTCGGCGATCGGATTGGATCGGATAATTCCCTATATTCGTCGTGGCAAACCGTAGGGGGTGTAAGAAACGCTCCGACGTTTTTCCAGGTCGGTATTTCAGAACGTGAAACACGAAGAGCCGTATAACGTTCGGCCTATCCTGTATCTAGTCGGTGATGCGGGATACCGCTGATTACGGACTAGAGAGATAGTAGTTACCCTCGTATCGAACTTATCAACGAGTAGTATCAGGTTATCAGCTATCGCGAACGGTATTCGCAGAGCAGTGTTTATGGCGGAGTGTAATCGGTAGGAGGTATAGCAGAATTCGCGAGTCGTCCGATCATAGGTTGCTTATACCACTGACAGTAACGCGAAGTAACGCGTAGTCTCCGTAAATTTTATCGCACCGTCGTTCTCACTGTCTATGCGACGTTTGCAACGACGCTTAATCGGCGTATCGTAATCGATTCATTGCCACGAAAGCGTTTCACGCGGTACAAGATGGCGACAGGCATAGGTTGCGGCTGACCACATTAGAGTATGCACTACTGCGGCTGAATTAAGGTCTAACGTGACGAGGTGTCTGCACTCCCGGCGCTTTTTACGTTATCGATCAGCCTTCGATCGTTTGGCTATTACTTATTATTTTTAGCACAGACCGATGTTGTCCGTTCCATTAAATTTAATTACGATTCCCCTACGCATCAGCGTAGTTATTTCTAAAACAATCGTTCGATGAATCAAACGACCGAATCTTTCTGCGTATTCTGAACTTCTTATAGATTTTTTTTTCGTAATGAACTCTAGATAACGACGTGTGTAAATAACGAGAATCTACGTTACGCGCAAGCAGATCCGAGCGAACAAAATCGTCGTCAAGGTTCTCGACCTTTGCTATTAAAACGGTCGCCAATATCGATTTCACGATTTCATTCCTCCTCGATTTTATTCTTAGCCACATTCGGTTTTTCGAATCGACGTTATCCTAGTTGCCATTCGTCGACGAGCGAATCGATGCTGGCGCACGTATCATCGTCGATCTCGCAAAGACGCGTGCTGGTTCCGGCACACGCGTTTCTCGGATTCTCGGTGATACCGAGTGGCTACAATCCCGCAGAGTTTCCCAACCAAATCAAAGCCCTCCGAAATTAGTGTCGTGCAACGAGGTGCGAAACCGATAAACCTGTTAACGTCGTATGTTTCACCGACGTATCGTCATTCGAACGTATTAAAAGGAACGTGCAATAACGAAATCAACGAGGGAACACGAGGCAAGATATTTCATAGAAGTAAATAGGTCGCGATCGAATCCGTGCATTCTTGGCCGATCGTCGTTCGATACGAGACTTCGACTCGGAGGGGGCAGCGTGCTTTGCAACCTCTTAGGGATTTCTGGTTACACGGTCGGTTTATCGATGCGTTGGGCTTGGCGAAGAATAGGGCTGGTCGGTTCTCTGTGGAACCGCAAATAGATACGGGGACGTCCGACATACGACCGTCGCTTTGTACGCGATCGGTAGGACAGCGTACAGCCAAATCGTGTCTCGGTCTCTCTCCTTCTATGGTTGCTGATGTGTTACTGTGCGGTGAATCGAGTCGGGGTCTCAGAGTCGCGAAGTCGAGTCGACTCGGTCGTGTGTTTCAGGCTGGTTGCCTGCTGCCGCCGTGAATCAATACCCGCATTGCGCGTGCCACCTCTCTTTCTCTTTCCTTCGTTTTCCTTCTCGCTCTCTTTACCCCTCCCAGCCCTGTTCCCTGCGTGGCCGTCTCTGTCTCGCACGATGCCATTCTCCCTTTCCACACCGGCTCTCTCCGTCTCTCTCCGTCTCTCTCCGTCTCTCTCCGTCTCTCTCCGTCTCTCTCCGTCTCTCTCCGTCTCTACCTTTTTCCCTCTTCTCTCCTTTTAACCCATCTCCACGTGTTTTTCTCCCGCTTTCTCCTTACAGTCGTTGGACGTCTTTCGACCCTCTTTCGCTATCGCAGCCTTCCTTCGTTTCTCGCGCACCGCTCTGTATCTTTGCTCGGCCGTCTCTTTTCCCCCTTCGCTTACCGTCTGTCTTCGTCGCTCTATATTTTCTATCTCGATCGCGTTGTCACAGTGTCCGTTTCATCGACCCTCTCCCTTTCCGTCTACGAACGCGTTCGTTCGACTTTCTTCCTGCTTGTTCGGAGAGAACGCACGTAGCAAGAAGAAGTAGGGGTAGGAAAAAGGGGCGAGAACCGGAGACAGGCGAACAGAGAAAGTGACGAGCATGGGACGTGTAAGGTCTGATCGGTGGTGCACGCACCGCGGAGAGGATTGGCCGACGACGCACGGATCTCCGACGGTTATGCGAGTCTAGCAACTATGTTTCTTCGACTTTCACCGAGTTTCGATCCTGTCACCGGTTCGAACAAATCGAACAGAAACGGTGGAAACAGAATTTGCTAAACAAACGAAGGCGGTGTAGCAACCGTTGCCAACTCGTACGATAAAATCCTAGAAAGATCGTAGCGCGTGTCCTACCGTTCGTCGTACTTATTTATTGCCGTATCTAAAGTAGCAACAAGATCTTTTCCGAATAATCGTCGAATCGGAAAAAAATAAGCGTCGAAACGGAAAGGCCAAGGAGACAGATAGGACGAAAGCTGCTCCGACATACTCGACGCTGACTTCTCAACGTTTAACCGATATTCGCAGAGAAGTCGGAGCACCTTATCGCTATGCTCGAACGTTCAAAGATTTTCGTGGTTGCGGTGAAAACAAGCGCAACGTGGCGAGGTCGGTAAACTCGAGAACCGAGGTTGCTGGCTGCGGTGGCAGGCATAGGTTGGCGCAACCTCTTCTGGGAATGATATTTTCTCATAAGACGGCGAGACCGTAACGGGTGTCCGGCTACTCGGCCGGATTTTATTTCGAAAAATAAAACGATGCTCTCTCAAACGTTGCTGCAGACCCATAAATCCGAGGGAGAAACGCGAGCTCGAAAGATACGCGGTTGACTCGTTATACGATGTCCACCGAATAACGAACGAGTCGGGAAAATTATCGATCGACAACGATATACCAATAACAGAAGCGTTTCGACTCGAATTTCGTCGTATCGAATATTCGTGGTTACTCTCGATTAATTCGGGTGCACGAGATCCTGACAACCAGCGAGAAAACATCCGATTATCGTTCACGGCTACCGGTGGAGGTAGTCGGTTTTGCGGTATTAGGACGGCGTTACTCGCGAGATGTGGAATCGACGACTCGGCGTACGTGAAAGCAGCGAGACGACCAAGGTGTCGGCAAAGGAAGAGAGTTTTGCGAGGACGTGTGAGCATCACGTGTACCGATAAGTACGTTAACGCGAGAGAAACGGATTAATTTGCGAATGACCGATCGGAAGCGAAAGAGATGGTACGACGCGGAAACCTTATGGTTCTATTCTCGGTATAAGGAGACGTAAATCCGTTTGACTTTGCTTCGATGCAGAGCAGCCCTTACGTTAGAAGACCGATAGATGACGAAGCTAACGGGGTTCAGATGACTTGACTTACGAAGCCCCGATCGTGCTCTCTCGGTGCAACGCACCGTTTTCCTTTCGTCGTGCCCAGCAACGAAGTCGTCGCGAATGCAGGTCACAGAATGCGCTCTACTTTTTCTCGACGTTGCTCCGACGTTGCTCGACGCTCGTCGCCGGGTTACGTCGGCTGTCGGTCGATTTTCACGGTTTAAGACGATCGTAGGAGAACGACGATGTTACTCGGGTTATCGGAAGATCGACGCGGAGGCCAGCCTTGCTCTTGATCGGTGGAGCATCTTCGAGCAATCCCTTCGCGTCCCTACGTCGGCCGTGGCGACTCGATCCGAAGCGTGCGAACGACGGAGAAGGCGCGAAACGATCAACGTCGGATCGATCGATGGATAGATACGGAATTAACGGAGCGCGTTTTTGTCGCGGACGATTTTAGCCAGGCTGCGCGATCGGCCGTGTTACATCCGACGCCCTCGGCCGATCTCGATTGGCGACCGACCCAGTGACGTCACCTGTACGCTTTGACAGACCGATCGAATGATTCGATTAAAATTCTGCCGGTCCGGCCCTGCCTCTGATTAACCGCAATTCGACGGAGGTTGTCTCGTTTCGCCTCGCTTTACCTCTTTTCGTCTCTCCGCACCTACGGTTACGTTGTTTTCGTCGTTCGGCTCGCGTCCTTCCCGCCCCTCGACCTCCGCATCGATGGAAATTCACACCCCTTCGACAAGAGGGAAAGCACCGACACCGGAATAACACGAAATTTCGTCGCGACAGAACGCGCGACTGCCGAAAGAGCTTTCGGTCTCGTCGATCGAGCCTTTCAACGAAAGTGGAAAATCTTATTTTTCTTATTTTTAGAGACGAAACCAAAAGGGCTCGATAACGCGGGCATCGCTTTACGCGAGTCGCGTCGCGTGCGCGCGTACGCGCTCGAAGGTCGAAGCTGCGTCGCGCTATAAACAGCACGGCCGCGATTAATAGGTTGAAATTAACCCTTCGAGCTCGAATATAGAGTCGCAGCCGATAAACGGGGCAGCGTAGCTTCCGTACAAATTTCACGTCGAGCGTATTGCTTCGAAACGATCGTGCTCGCGACGTATCGCTGTTCTTCTCTCCGATACAAAGTCGTAAACAAGTTGCCCCGTTTTACGGAAATTTACAGGGTGGTTGGTAACTGGTGGTACAAGCGGAAAGGGAGTGATTCTACGCGAAAAAAGAAGTAGAAAATATAGAAGAAAAATTTTTTTTTAATTTTTCCATCGAGACAACGATCTACAGC